GGTTGAGCTATAGGCGCCGAGCCTCCAAAGACTTTTTTTAAAAAACTCATTAAATTCATCCAGTCTAAAATGAATTCACCCACTTAGTTTTAACTTTCAATTTATAAATACAAGGGAGAAAGGAACCAGCTAAATGATACAAAGCAACTAGTAAAATCCAGAAAGAGGGACATCTTCTAAGGCAAGGCTATCATTTTTTAAAAATAGGGAGGCAAAGAGTGGTGGCTCATGCCTGTAGTCCTAGCACTCTGGGAGGCCATGTGGAAGGATTACTTGAGGTCAGGAGTTGGAGGTTGCTGCAGTGAACTTTGATCATGCCACTGCACTCTAGCCAGGGGCACGAGCAAGACTGTTTCAAATGAATGAATGAATGAATGAAACTAGATAAAAAGTACAGAAAATGTGAAACTGAAAAAGAAAAATGGATATAACCAAATGCAATGCATGGCCCTTAAGTAGATATTTACTTGAACAAATCAACTATTAAAGACTTTGGTCAATAGGGTAAATTTCTTTAAAACAGTTTTTTTTTGAGACAGTCTTGCTCCATTGCTATAGGTAGAGTGCAACGCATCATCATAGCTTACTGAAACCTTCAACTCATAGGCTCAAGCAATCTTCCTGCCTCAGCCTCCCAAGGAACTGGCACTACAACTGTGCCTGGCTAAGTTTTCTTTTTTTATTTTAGTAGAGAAAGGGTCTTGCTTTTGCTCAGGCTGGTCTGGAACTCCTAAGCTCAAGCACCCGCACCTCCTGCCTGCCCCAACCTCTCAGAGTGTTAGCATTATAGATGTGAGCCACTGTGCCCAGCCAATGTGGACAATATCATTATGGTCTGGCCTAGCAAAAGAGTGGAGCTTTTTTTTTTGAGACAGAGCCTCAAGCATCCCCCTGGGTAGAGTGCCGTGGCATTACAGCTCACAGCAACCTCCAACTCCTGGGCTCAAGCGAGTCTCCTGCCTCCACCTCCCAAGTAGCTGGGACCACAGGCGCCCGCCACAACGCCCGACTATTTTTTTTTTTGGTTGCAGCCGTCATTGTTGTTTGGCGGGTCCGGGCTGGGGATTCGAACCCACCACCTTAGGTGTACGTGGCTGGCGTCTTAGCCGGTTTGAGCCACAGGTGCCTTTGAGCCACAGGCGCCGAGCCAAGAGGGGAGCTTTTAAACGCAAACTTTTGTTTTGTTTAGAAACAAGGTCTCACTGTCACCTGGGCTATAGTGCTTGCAGTGGCATTATCATAACTCACGACAACCTCAAATTCCTTGGCTTAAATGATCTCCTGCTTCAGCCTCCCAAGTAGCTAGGACTATAGGCTTGTACCACTATGTCTGGCTAATTTTTCTACTTTTTTGTCAGGATGTTCTTGAACTCCTGCCTTAAAGAAATCCTCCCATCTTGGCCTCCCAAAGTGCTAGGATTATAGGTGTAAGCTACCTCACCTGGCCCTAAATAGTTTTTAAGTCTCCCCATCAGAGTCCTACTTTGAGACTATGAGGTTCCTAGAAAATGCAGCAAAATTTTTCCAGTCTGTAATAAAAATTCTAGGGGGCAACAAAGGAAGAGGTAATATTTCATATTGTTATAATGAAGTAATTTATTCTCTATAAATCCCAAAGAACTTAGGTGAGAGGATCTGTAATACTTACTAGGTTTTATATCCATGTGCACCAAAGACATTGAATGAATATACCTCAAGCCCCGGCCAACTTGCGAAAGGAGATCCTTGAGGTCTACTTCCGTAAAGTAACTCATGCTTCTATAGTTTTCACTGATAGCATCAGCTAAACTTCCACCTAACAAAAACAGCAAAAATTAGCATTTTCTTCTTTCTGAAATATTATTCTGCCTTTTATCTTGACTAAATGACCACAGTTTCTACCAAGAACTTAACATTTTATAGGACCGCCTTCCTTCAATGTGGTTGTGAAATCAAAATTGTGTGTATTCTTTCAATAGGTAACATACTCACACATGGGTACAAAATACAATTTAATGTCTCTTACTCACTCATAGACCAATAACCCACCTGTTTCTCTCTCCCAGAGTAAACCAACATTATCAGGTGTTTTTTTTTCTTTTTCTTTTAATTTGCAAGAGATAGAGTCTTGCTATGTTGCACAGACCTCTAGAGTTCAGTGGCTATTCACAGGCTTGATCCCACAACTGATCATCATGGGAATTTTGACCTGCTCCATTTCCACCCTGGGCCAGTTCACCCTTCTTTAGGCAACCTGGTGGTTTCCTGGTTCCTGGGAGATCATCATTTTCTTTTTCTTTTTGGAGATAAAGTCTCACTCATAGAGTAGAGTGATGTGGCATCATAGCTCACAGCAACCTCAAAACTCTTAGGCTCAAGTGATCTTTTTGCCTCAGTTTTTCATTTTTAGTAGAGATGGGGTCTTGCTATCCCTCAGGTTGGTCTCGAATTCCTGAGCTCAAGCTATCTATCTGCCTCAGCCTCCCACAGTGCTAAGATTATAGGCGTGAGTCACCGTGCCCAGCCTGAGGTCACTACCTTTTTTTTTAAATTAAGACACAGTCTCTGCTTGGCGTCTGTGGCTCGAGTGGCTAAGGCGCCAGCCATATACTCCTTTTTTTTTAAATTTTTTTTTATTTTTGCTTTCAACTTATTTTACTTTGAAGGTTTTTTATAATTTTTTTTTTTAACTTCTTCTTCCTGTAGTGTTCTCTTGCCCCCCATGTAGCTGGGATCACAAGGTCTGGCTATCTTTTTGTTGTTGCTGTAGAGACAGGGTCTCACTCTGGCTCACTCTGCCTCAGGCAGGTCTTCAACTGGTCTCGAACCTCTGAGCACGGGTGATCCACCGACTCAACCTCCCACAGCGCTGGGACAACAGGCGTGATCCACCACACCCGGCCCAGCCACATACTCCTAAGATGGAGGATTGGAATCCAGCCCGGCCCGCCAAAACAAAAACGGCTGCAACCAAACAATAGCCGGGCTTTGTGGTGGGCGCCTGTGGTCCCAGCTACTTGGGAGGCTGAGGCAGGAGACTCGCTTGAGACTCTCAAAAAAAAAAAAAAAAAAAAAAAAACAGAGTCTCACTTTGTTGCCCTCTGTAGAGTGCGATAGCATCACAGCTCATTTATAGCAACCTCAAACTCTCGGGCTCAAGTGATTCTCTTGTCTCAGCCTCCCTAATAGCTGGGACTATAGGCGCCCGCCACTATGCTTGGCTATTTTGTTTGTTTGTTTGTTTAGCACACCTGGGCTGGGTTCAAACACACCAGCCCCAGTGCACATGGCCAGTACCCTAACCACTGAACTATAGGCACCCATGAGGTCACTATCTTGAGGCACAACTTAGTATAGACATCCTATTGGCGTAACACACCACCAGCCCAGGATTCCTGCAGTCATGCAACCCTCCTTTATGAACTGGGTCTACAGGTGCATACCACTGCCCCTGGCTCAGTTATTATGTACTCTTTTCAACTGTTTTTACACAAATGATAGCATATATTCATTATCCTGACAATCATTCTATACCAATATACAAAGAGTACCCACTTTTCTCATCTCTATAGAATTCTGTTGCATAATTGAATGAATCATAATGCATTAAGCAATCCCCTAATTGATGGACATTTTAAAATTATTTCCAAGCCTTTGCTATTATATACTATGGTGTAACCCTGAACACTGGTCATTTCACACATATTTAGTATATTCCTAGAAGCAAAAGTGCTAGGTTAATGGGTTTAAGTAAGCACACACACTTATTTATAATGTATACACACATACTAGATTACATATACACATACCTATTATCCCCTATAGACAAGACTATACCAATTTACATATCCACTCTAAATGTATGAGAATACCTTTCCCCCCACACTCTTGGCAAGTCTATAAATTTTATAGGCAAAAAGCAGCATCTGAGTATAGCTTTAATTTATACTACTTAATATGAATGAGAACATAATCTGCTTTTATAGAATTAGTCAAACCAGCTAATTAATTTTTTTTTTTTTTTTTGAGACAGAGCCTCAAGCTATCTCCCTGGGTAGAGTGCATTGGCATCACAGTTCACAGCAACCTCCAACTCCTGGGCTCAAGCCAGTCTCCCGCCTCAGCCTCCCAAGTAGCTGGGACCACAGGTGCCCCCCACAACGCCCGGCTATTTTTTGGTTGCAGCCGTCATTGTTGTTTTGGTGGGCCCAGGCTGAATTCAAACCTGTCACCTTAGGTGTATGTGGCTGGCGCCTTAGCCACTTGAGCCACAGGCGCCGAGCCAATTTTTGTTTTTTTTTAAGACACTGTCTTAGTCTGTGGCCCAGGATAGAGTGCCAAAGTGTATCACAGCTCACTGCAACCTCAAATTGCTGGCCTCAAGCAATCCTCCCATTTCAGTCTCCCAAACTGCTAGGATTACAGGGCCAAAACACCCAGGTAACTACTTCTATTTTTAAAAACTCTCTAAGTTTTATATCTTAGACGCAATGAGAAGTTGTTCAAAAAAAAAAATGTTCTGGGCTGGTCCTAAGGTAGTGACTTATCTCACTTGATTGTTGACAGTTACAGATTGAACTCTTTGTTCTACTCTTTCCCCCCTTCTCACTACTGTGCTTGACAAGTCCTAAAAAAACTTCTATTTAAAGTTTAGGGATACTGGCTTGCCAACTGTGGCTCAAACGGCTAAGGCACCAGCCACATACACCTGAGCTGGCGGGTTCGAATCCAGCCCAGGCCCACCAAACAACAATGACGGCTACAATCAAAAAATAGCCGGGCATTGTGGCGGGCACCTGTAATCCCAGCTACTAGGGAGGCAGAGGCAGGAGAATCGCTTGAGCTCAGGAGTTTGAGGTTGCTGTGAGCTGTAATGCCACAGCACTCTACCCAGGGCAAGAGCTTAAAGCTGGGTGTGGTGGCCTACACCTGTAATCCTAGCACTTGGGAGGCTGAG